GAGCTTCAGAGAAAGTAGGTAGTCAGTCGGCTTGCTATACTCGAGATAGAAGGGTTTTTCATCAGAGATGAGTGCACATAGAGATTCAGAGTCTTAATCTGGGGATGCAGGTAATCAAAGTCTCCAGCAATGATGTGCAGATCAGAAGAGATGGCAGTAAGATAGGTAGAAGGTTCATAAGGGGGGAACAGCAGAGTGGGCTGAGAGTAGCACAACATAATGACAAAGATAGCAGTTGGAAGCACAATAGCAAGGTGAGAAATAAGATGTGTAGGGGTTGCTTTTCAACTGAGGAGATATGCAGCAAAGACCAAAAAATGATGTGCAAGCATGTGACCATGTTTACGTTGGCAACCAGTCATCAGAGGAATCTGAATCTGAGGATATATCTGAGTGATCAGAATTGCTGGATCCATCTGAATCTAGATCTTTCAGATCCAGATTGGATGGTACACGTGGCAGGTATGGGAGTAATCAAAATGCTGCAACTGCACGTCTAAGAACTGTTTCATCTAATTCCTGCAACACATATGATTCTCCACGTTGCCTTTGTCATATCTGATATGGCCCAAAATACCTCTGGCTATACTTGTCTGTCAGACCGGCATCTCACCTTGTGTTACGCATCAGTACTAAGTCTCCTGGCTTCAATACTTTCCACCAGAGGCTATGTTTGAACTGCTTTTCAAACTGATGCTTCGAGTGCAATCTACACCATTTGATCGCAGCTGCTGCCCGTGCGATATCCTCTGGCTGCTTTTCTAATTGTCTGATGTGCAGTGCAAGAAGGTCAGATGATGAAAGTCCAGATGTTTATCCACTTATCATAAAGGTCACCTCTGTGAGATCAAATGGCAACACTGGGTCTACGCCATGCAACAAATAGAAGGGGCTAAATCCTGTTGAGCACCTGATGGTAATTCTGTCTGCAAAGAATGCATGGTGTACTTTGTCTGGCCAGGACTTGAGATTCTTCTTCGCATCTTTGAGTATTTCCTCACGTATTACAAAATGACCTTGTTCGACTAGCCCATTCACATGCTTGTTGTAGAGAGAAATTGTGATTTGTGGAATACCATATCTTTGCAAAAGCTTCTCGAAGGCTCCAGCCACTTCTGAACCATTATCTGTTACAACCTCTGTAATATGTCCATAGTGGCATATGATTTCCTCCCAGAAGAATCTCACTAACTCCTTGGAATTAGATTTCTTTAAGGCCCGTCCTTCTGCTGCATGTGTCAAATCATCTCTCGCAGCAACAATGTAGCAATATTCTCAAGCTGGTGGCATAAACATAATGTTAAGATAAATCTTGGAAAATATAGTTGCTGGTGTGCGTATAGTGAGAGATTCCTCTACCCTTTTTGGACTTCATAATTGGCATTGGTGGCATGTACTGATATGGTGTTTTATATCTTGAAATAAATGAGACCAGAAGAAATGGTCGCGAAGATGATAAAATACTCCATAAACTCCCCTATGACCTAGTTCTTCATGTGCATGTGTTAGTATAGAGATCCTATGATCCTTGTCTAATATAACCAATAAAGGAGTGTGATCACATTTTTGCTTGAACATAGATCCGCCTTTCATAAAAAACTGTCCTGCACATCTAATAAATCTTCACTTGGCTTGAATGTTAAAGAAGTCTGGTGTCTGTAGAGTCTGGAGGAAATGTCTGATATTTCGCAATGTCTCCTCTTGCTTGGAATTCACTGCTAGTGATGAGGGTAACTGGTGAACCAGGGTTTGATCCGACTTGGTCACATGATTAAGATACAGAGATAGAAGTGCTATCTCATCCAACCAATCATCTGACTCAGGAACTTCTGCCAATTCTTCTTCTGTTGGTTCACAATGTGAGAGAGCATCCAGTCCACGATGCTTATCAGCAGGCACATGTCGCAATTCAAAGGTAAATAGCAAAATGCCCTGAATCCACTGATTGATCACGGCATTCGGCTGAAGATCTGGATTATTCAGCATGTCTTTAATGTACTTGGCATCAACTTCCAGAATCAAGTTCTTGATACCTGGTAAATAAAGTCTCCAGTGTCGCATGGCTCTATAGCATCCATATAGCTCCAACTTGGGCTGACTATATCTGGACTCGCACTTATTAAAAGGCAGAGAGCCATAGCGAGCTGGTCTCCATCTGCCTTGTTCATCATCCTGCGACAAGATAAAACTGACTGCGATAACACTAGAGTCTATGGATATATAGACAGGTCGGTCCAATGAATAATTAATAGGGTGTAAGGCAGGTGCAGATGTAATAAGATCCTTCAAGCAATCAAATGCTTCTTGTCGCCTATCATCCCATACAAATTCAGCATTCTTCCATGTTAGTTCAGTTAGCAGTCGTGCAATTTTGGAGTAGTCCTTTATTCAAATGCGCACTATACCATATAATCCTAAAAATCTCTGCACATCCTTTGCAGTCTTTAAAACTGGCCAGGTAAGAATTTTGTTTACTTTGAATTTTCTGGAAGTCATCCTTCTGGGGTGCATGTCTGTCTAACTATAACTGCATGGGGTTTACATAATTGAGTCTTAAAAGCAGAGAAGGTAGCACCTGCATGTTCTATACAATGCATAATCCTATGTACATCAACTGCATGTTCCCATATAAATTGCCTAATTCCTGGGCTTTCTGGTAATGTCTCCGGCTCTCCATTTTCTTGTATATATATAGTTTTTGGTCCGTGGATGGGTGAATCATTGATAAAAACATTCGCGACATGGGGGATCTCATCTTGTAAAATAAAAACCATACAATTCTGAAATTCTGAAGGAGAGTTGATGAAGTCTTGAAGCATACAAGTAAGTTGTAATAAACTGAGTGGTGTTAGGAATGATGTTAGGTCACGACTTTTAGGATCAATCTTGCATGCATCAAATCCGGAAAATAAATCAAACACTGTGTAGCAGGCGCATCCTGCAAAGAGTTCTACAAAATCATCCAGGATGGGCGGGACACCTGCATCTCGAATAGTTACCCGATTAAGTGGCTGTAGATCATGGACGATCTGCAGTTTACCGCTCTTCTTGATTATGCAGAACTATCGTGATCAATAAGATGATTGACTAGGTTCATAAATGCCAGCTGCAATCTTATCTTGAAGAAGTGCAACTACCTTTTCCTTAATTCCTGGGGGGATAGGGATGTTAGGATAGGCCCATGGTATATGCAGTGTGACTGGTATAATATAAGGAGTAAAATAATCTTTGCGAAATGTACCTCTGTCTTCTTCGCCAAAAGCAAGTGTCTTTTCATTAAGCTTGAGAATATGTTTAAAGAGCTTTTGTTCCTCTGGCTAAAGAAATTTATCTTTATTGATGTCCATTAATTCAACTCTCTCCACAATAAGCTTTGCGGTAGAGATAAATTCAGGTGGAACCTTAGATAACTCTGTAAGTGAGTCCAATAGATTCTTAGGGAAGCGCTGCAGTACACATACACATACATCCTCTGGAAATACTCCTTGTACTGGCCTTACCTTTCTATTGACTGGTTTGTATGCTTCGAATTCCAATGGCACACTATTTAAATAAGGCTGACCAGCAGAAGGTATATTGGGAGTTTCTGAGGTAGTGGTACATGACATAGTTACATAAGAGACCATAGGTATATAATTCCTGTTGAAGGGATTTAGAGGTGACATACACAGAGAATGAGTGGGGGTTGATAACATATCAGACATAGGGCTGGGTATACTTAGTGACGAAGGGCCGCGGGTAGCTACAGGTAAAGGAAAATAGTGCATAGTGCTTGATGGAGGGTCCTGCTCCCTAAAATGTGGTGTTCCGAATCTGCTAGAATTAGTCGTGAAAGGAATGTACTGAAAAAGCAGGACTTACATATTCAATGACTTCTTTGGTGACATTGCACATGGCCTCGATGTGCTCATGCATCAAGTCTTCATGCTCACATTCTGACTGTATGTGGTTATCATCGTTGTCCGCATTGTCTGCAAGGTCCATGTCTGATTCGCTATCACTACTGTCGTTACCATGCAAGACACTTACTTGTTACAAAGCTCCTCTTTGAGAAACGCGCGGACGACTTCCGCCTCTACCTTTACCGATCATGTGACAATGACATCACATTGCCTAGACTGACCACGTGACCATGACATCATCATGGTCATCATGCTTATCTATCCAGAACCCTTATCTTAGGGCTGTACCAGATCTACAAGATCATCTGATGATATGCGCCTTGTGCTCAAGGCATGTTTACCTCATGTACGAGATCCAGGCTTAGATCCTCTTCCTATCACACACATGACAAAGGCATGTGCACCTCACCTCTGCCTTACCTTTACGATACAGATACCGGACCTCATGAGCATGGCCCCAGACCCTGATACATGCACTAGATGCACGACGACCTCGCTGCTGCCTTGTCTTTGCAGCATGACCTTATCCCCATATGGACAGATTGTCTCTCACGCAGAGTCATGACTGACTCAGCATTCTCACGACCATGGGACAGGCGTACGAACCCTGTGCCCTTGTATTGATACTGATGGACCAATTGTAGTTCTAGTATTACAGGTAGACAGACGCCTGTACTTATATATAAGACCAACAGGACAAGCTGGAGTCCCCATCTTGTCCTGGTTACACATCAACCAGTTTTACCATCTACATTTGTGCGACAGATCGACCTTGGTCTGCAGACAGTGGCCAAGCATTCATAAGACTGCTCCAATGGGCCGACCTCTGGTCATCGCTATGACTGGAGGTCGGACCCCTCACAATTGACTTGAGCCCTTGTGAAGGCCTAGCCACTGGACGATGAACCGGATGTACGGTGGCACGACTGGCCCCCATGACATTACTAAACCTGGTAAGTCATCGTCGCCATCATATGAGTCTGGAGATGCACAGCACGCATAGGAGCCAGGCAGGTGCATTGGCCTGCACATACGAGTGTTGGGGTCATGGGTGACAGAGAGAGTGGAATGAGGAAGCGGAAGTGGGTGATTGTATGCTCACACTGCATGGCAGTCAGCCTCGCACGTGCATGTGCACACCGATGATGAAGGTGACGGGGGCAACGAGAGGACCGGTGATGAGGGAATGTAGACAGGTGATGATGGCATGTACTCGGGGGATGGGGAATATGATAGGGGTAGGGTCACAGGGATATCTGCGAGGTCCAGATGTGAGAGAAAAATGAACGCCGTTGGGCACATGTCGATCAACGAAGAGGGGCCGTTCGCACGGTCGATGTGCATGTTGTAGACCAAATTGTCGATGAAGTGAAGGGGGGTACTGTAAAGCAACTGCTTAAATCCTGTTGTAAGGTCTCCAGATTCCATCTTTTTATCTGCCAAAGGTTCTGCGTTACAAATGAGCACATCTGTGCTGTTCATCGTCATTTCGAGCTGTAAGGTGAGGATTGCATATTCCACATCCATCGCGCTCTCGGCATTGACGTTCATGGTCCCGATCTCCTGCCATGTGTCGCATAGTTCCTGAGGTGCATTGTTCTCCTGCATATGCATATCCAGGTTGACTGTAAGTGCTTACATGTCTGTGGAGTCCATGTGTGTGCTCACATTCTCTGGAGCCACACGCTCAATGAGCGGCGGGATTCCGTAGGCCTCGACAATCGCAGCTGCATCGACATGGCCTGTATCTTCCTTGTCCTGTCTGTCGTTCTCTCGACTGTGAGTTTTCATGGGAATGTTGGGGACGTTCGACTTGCAAAGGAGCATGTCGTATGAAGATGTGGGCCACGGACACTGCGCAATATCCCTGCACTTGGCGTCATTAACGTTTGCGTTCTCAGTGGCCTGGTATTCACGTCCGGAGTTGTGGCGTTAGAAATCCACCTGTGCACATGTTAATGTGGTATCTGCAAAAACATGCGGGCCACCTAGAATTGTGTTGTCATCGATGGCAAAAATCGCATGTTCGACGAGCAGCGTCAGTCTATAGGTGTCGAGGACTGCTACTGCATCCTCGCAGCCTGTATCTACTTGCTCGTCTTTTCCTCCAGTATCTCCTGTGTGGGTCTCCATGACAACACCCAGGGCGTTAGATTCAGAGGGGAAGGCATTGTATAAGTAGACAGGCCTGGGACATTGTGCGTACTTTGTGCACTTGGCGTCGTCGCTGTTCGCATCCTGGAGGCTGTCGGGGTTCACCATGTGTGCCGAATTGTCAAGAGGGGTCATGCAATGGACCAGGAGAGCTGTGGACACTCGAGAAGTTTTAAGAATGCCGTTAGTGTCATTTTGGAGGGTATTACCAAGCTCAGATTCTTCGAGACCAGATTGAGAAGGGTTAAAAACAGGAGTAAAGTAATCCGAAGAGCACAAAAATGTCGACAAGGAGGGAGAACGATGTGTGTCGTGCATGATGGTGCCGTCATTGCATTCATGGGATGCTGCATCAGCCTGATGATGCGATTGCTGTGAGAGACTGTCCCAATGTCAAGGAGTGACTGGGGCAGAGGAATCTGTGGCGATCATAATGATACAGTCATCTTGTACAACCGTCTTCAGGAGACGATGAGGATCACATGTCCTTGGGGCCTGAAGGGAATGAAATATGTCAGTGCGTGCCACATTTGGTGCATGAGAGTTAATAATTGCTTCAAAAATCCTTACTGAGCTCGATGAAGGCACCAATTTTGTCACGTTGAATGTCGCATTGAAGGGCAAGGGGTTCGCGGTACTGTCAAGACCAATCCTGCGAGGCACGGGGTCATTGATAAATGTGGCTTCCATTGGCAATCTCTAAGGTGGGAGTGCTATTAGACCTATATCTGTAATGGAGGTATCTTCTTCGCGCGTGACGGGATATTCGAGATTCGGGAGGTCGATGTCATTGACTGATGCTGTGCCCAGCCAATCACGGTTAGTGTAGTTGTGTGGGAAAAATTGAATGAAAGAGTGCCCTTCATGCTCGAAGGCATGTCCATGACTAGAGTAAATTCTGGAAGGCCCAAACACTTTGCCGGAGAGCGTCATGTTGAGTATGTACCAGTGCTCATAGCGACTGCCCTGCAAATATCCGAATGAACATGAATAGGCATCACCGTGATAGATTCCTGTGCGATAGCATTCATTAAGATTTGAGAGTGTGGGCTCGGGGTTTCAGTCAGCGGGTGCGAGAGTCTCCGTGGGTAGAATTGAGGTATCAATAATATGAGTACTAGGTTCCAGTGCCGAAATGAGAAAAGAGTCTGCCGAGTTGGACTCTACAATGTGCAAATGGGGTTCGAAGTTAAGGAGGTGCTTCAGAGTCACGAGAAGTTCGTGCTCCCTGTTGGAGGAGTGTGGACTCTTGAAAATGAGATAAGTTCTGTCGGGTCATTTATCGATGGTGACCTGGTTGTTGTGCTGCCACAGCCAGCTGAGGAGAAGGTCGAATGGGATGTGGTCAGCGACGTAGAGATTGGCCCAAGTGGTGACCACACTGTACTGCAGCGGGACTTGCTGGACTAAGCTGAGGAGATCTCCTTTGCCACCATTTGCATCCTTTATGGTAATTCGGTAGCTGCAGCTAAGAGGTCATTGAATCTTGTCTTTCCATACCCACGAGTGTACGATGTTTAACACAGAGCCAGTGTCAACAATAGCCTCGATCTGGCGCCCGTCGCAATCAATAGAAAATTGAATAAGTGTGTGCCAATTCCACATAATAATAGTACTTGCCACCATATTATTGTCAGGCTCCACGGGTGCCCGTTTGTACTTAATAATTTCCCATAAATAATTAGAAATCTCTCTTGAGGAGCCAATTACCTTACCTATCAAAATTGTAATAGAAGTACTCAATATTTTATTAAGTACTGCCGCAGGCTGAACCTGACCTGAAAGAGCAAATTGAGTAGGAAGGTATTTCCACAGCTTCTCCAATTTATCAGGCTCTGCTTCCTTATTAGCTGGAGTTTTCATAGGAACTGATGATGACTTACGAGACTTCTTCGGCTTTTCTGGGGTTTCATCTTCCATAATAACATCATCATCCTCGGGATCAAACTGAGAGGGCTGAATAATAATTGGGCGGGGTTCCAGGGGTTTATCCACTTTAGTCTTATCTGCTTTAGCTTTGTCAGCTTTGTCATCAAGTCTCCAAGCCCAACTAGGCTTGGCAGGAGGGAACACACCTTCAAAGCACTCCTTGTGCGCTCCCTTGGTGGACTTGGAAGAGCACTCAGCAGGCATAACAAGGATGTCAGATTTAGTGTCAGAAATGCAAGCCATGGTTTCTGCAGTAAATGAGATAAAGTTTGACTGTGCAAGCTGGGTTTTATGAGAGGGAAGGGAACATTGCGAGTCTAGAATTGATGAGGAAGTTTCTTTGTACTTGCTAGCACACTTGCTCGACCCCTCCACTCACGTGTGTTCATATATTATGCTCAAGTATTCACCACTGCTTGCTTGCACTGTCTGTTTTAGTCACTAAAGTGCTTGGTCATTTTTGCTGCCTAATGTCTGACACTTAGAAGGACAATAGCAAGGTAGGTTTCTATTGTCTTTATTATTTTTATTATCCCCCACTCTCTTTTGTTTTATCCAGAGTTATTTCTTATTGTTATGACTCAGACTCCTATTATCACATTTTCTATTGTTATTTCTATTTAAGGTGCCTTTCTATTATTTAGATTTTCCCACCTTCTTTAGTATATAAACTCTGGAAGCCCACTTGGACTTCCAGAGGAAACCTGTTGTCCTAAAGGTATAGGACATTCTTCTCACCTCAGTAGTCACTAGTTGGTATATACTCAAGTTCATACTTACCTGAATACAGTGTTATTCAGGCATAGCATTATAGGCATCAAGCAAGTCATAACTCGGTCATCTGTCACTTGGTCACTTATTACTCGGTCATACTCTCTGCCTTATTACAAGACAGTCTTTCCCTCTTACTCACACACACTCTGTCACACTTGATTACTACCAGGTAACCAAGTGATTACTACATCAAATACACTGAGGAATATTTCCCGACTTTGTTCAAGTCCAGTGCCAATTCTCATCTGTCAAACTGGAGCCCACTGTGAGGGGTAGTTTCCTTGCTTATCGGATCACATACTATTCTCATAATACTCCCTTTACTTTCACCATTCCCACTTGCCCAACGTGCCATCATCACAGTCACCTACATCCACCTCAGAATTATCAAGTGCCAGTATATCATCCCTGTCTGGTAACTTCTCAAATAATCTCAACACCTCCATTTTCAATTCAGGTTCTACCAGTTTCAGTAACCCCTTATCAGTCAGTTTATCAGCCTCAGCCTCAGTACCAGCACCAGTACCCACTATGTTCAGAGTGACCTCAGTAACACCAGCAGCCACAGCGTCCAATCCACCATCAACAGCACCCACAGCCACAGCAGTCATACAATCCGCCATCACCTTGTCCACTAACCCCAATTCAGTTCCCACCACCACCCTATTAACCAGTTCTTCCACCATGTCTAAGAGTCACTCAGTTCATGATATGCCTGTGCGTGGAGGAAAACAAGCTCCCAGGACTTTTAAAGATCAGTCATCCCAAGTTAAGGATTTTCTGGAAGACTATGATGCCCTACTGTCCTTTAATCAGGTAACTGATAATGAATTAAAGTGTAAAACAATTTGCCGATATTGTAGTTGAGCAGTGCGAGAGGTAATAGAAACTCTCTCTGACTACAAGACTCCTAACTGGGATAATCTCAAGGCAGAAATTTTGATGATTTATGATTTAGAAAGGAATGAAAGACAATTCAAGCGTACTGACCTTAAGGATTTTTGTCGTACAGCACGTCATTCCTCTATTCACTCACTTTCTACAGTACGTTTCTACTATGTGGATTTCAGTGTATTGCTGAATGGCTAAAGGAGAAGAGTATGATAGATGAAGACACTTATAACAAGGCATTTTGGAAAGGGTTACCTAGGACCCTTAGGCCAAGAATTGAATCACGTGTACTGTGAATTAACCCTGCCCATGATTTAACAAAGCCCTTTACTGTTGCAAACATGTTAAAGTCTTTGGAGGACATGTTTCACCATGCTAAATTTGATGCTGATGAATCTGAGTCAGATTCTGATCATGATCAAGACCAATCTGATTCTGAAGATGGTACATACTCTGATTCAGATTCTGCTGAGTCAGAAAATAGTGACGATGAATTTTCTAGATATAAGAAGAGTTCCAAGAAACAACCAAAGAAGACTTCAAGCTCTGAAATAAATCTGAAAAAGGCAAGAGAAAGAAGAAGCGCAAGATGGAGTCAGGCCATAAGGTGCATGTGTGCCTGTGTGCATTACAAGATGAGGAAACAGCAACTAAAGAATTTGATGAAGTAGAAACAATTATTAGAAAACTTCAGACATTATCATTGGATGATCCTAACTACTCTACTCTGTTTTACAGAGCATACAAGTTGAATAAGGATATTGTACAAATTGTACAACATCCTAGGAGGCCAGGAAAATCCACTTCATTACCCATTGTGCATACAGGAGGACCCCCTGCAACAATGGCAGACAATAAACCATTGTCGTGTGGAGAAATGACCTGTTATGGTTGCGGGAAGAAAGGGCACTCCATGAATTATTGTCCAGAGATTATTAACCTTTTGAATAAAGGGACAATAAAATGTGACATAAATGGCAAATTAATAATGCCAGATGGGTCTCCTATTCGCAGAGAAAGGGATGAGCCTATTGTCTCAGCCTTGAATCCCTCAGCATCAACTTCTTCCTGATCTCCAGCGCATGTGAAGTCCAACTCATAAGCTTCACCATAAAGATGAGCTCTGGCACACGCAGCCTTGGCAGCTTTGGCCTTGGCTTTTATCGCCTTATTGTTGACCTTGGCCTTGAATTGCTCTGCTTGCCAAGCTCAATATCTAGAGTATTGCATTAGTTATGCAAGTTTTATATTGAAACATGTTACATGTCTGTCATTTTATAAAATGTATATCTTCTATTATTTTGAATGTTTCTGTAACTATTTGTATATTAGTAGATGTAATGTTTAATCACTATTTTATATAAGCTTAACTGATATTACTTAAAGATATACTGCTTAGGTTATAAATTTAAAGTAATCTACTACTGTAGAAAAGCAAACTATAATACTATAATAAATTATTTATCTAAAGAGATCTCAGCTTGGGACATTCTCTGGGAGCATTGGACCATCTTATCTTGACTTTGGGATAATCTATGATTGTGACCTCCCAAAGCCCCAAAATATAAAAGTATAAAAGTGAAAGACACTCATAATGAAGAATGTGAGTGAGCATATTGTCCATTTGCTGTGTTAATACTGAAGGCCCACTACTGAATGTCTTTTAATAAAATAAAATAAACTAAACCCTACAATATAATGTACAAAAAATAAGGCTCAATGAT